AGCATAAGCAGGGGAGGGTCAGAGAGAGAGGGAGACACAGAATCTGAAATGCTCCAGGCTCTGAGCTGTCAGCACAGAGCCCAGCGCGGGGCTCGAACCCACGAAACGTGAGGTCATGACCTGAGCCGAAGTCGGACACTTAACTGACTGAGCCACCAAGGCGCCCCAATTAATGCTTGTTGAATTGAGAAAGGAAAGTGAAGGATCACACAGTAGTCAAACGCAAGACTCAATCTTCTTTCACACCATCCTGTTTCGGTAAGTAAAAATAAATAAAAACAGTAGGAAGAGTCTCTTTCTTCCTCAACATTCTCCATCCTTCGGTCTCAGAAGCACCACGACCCCGAGCACAGCTTGGCCTCTACCACCAAGTGGGTATATGCGTGTGTTTGTGTATGCACACGTGTCAGAATGGGACTTCTAAGCCTCCATCACTCCCCTGAACCAGAATTTCAATCACCATCACTGAGCAAAAGCAACAAACTCTGGGGACCCTTTACGTTACTTGGATGGGCACCTTGGGGTAGATCTCTAAAACCAGATTCACAGGCCTATTCGTCCTGAACACCTACTTTGTGCCAGGTGTTGGGTTACACACTGGGATATGGAATGTAAGAGACCCTCTCCTTGCCCGCAAGGCACCTAGTGCAATCCTGCCTTAACCTTGGCTGCACATCTGTAGCACAAAGAGAAAAATAGATTCCGGGCTGCACTGCAGACCTCTCAAATCAAAAGCTCTTACTTAAAGTGGAGCTCAGACGTGGGCCTTTTTTAAACCTCCACAGGCAAACTCTGATTCACAGGCAGGGTTGTAAGCTACTGTTTTTCTTTTCTTTTTTTTTTAATGAGAGAGAGAGAATGCAAGCAGAGCAGAGTTTCTTTTTTTTTAATTTTATTTATTTATTTTTGAGAGAGAGCACGAGCCAGGGAGGGACAGCGAAGGAGGGAGAAACAGAATCCCAAGCAGGCTCCACGCTGTCAGCGCAGAGCCCATGCGCAACTTGGTCCCACAAACTGTGACAGCCCAAATCAAGAGTCAGATGCTTAAACAACAGAGACACCCAGGTGCCCTGAGAGAGAAACTTAAGCAGGCTCTATGTTCAGCGAGGAGAACAATGCACAACTAGATCCCGTGTTCCTGAGATCGTGACTTGAGTTGAACTCAAGAGTTGGGCGTTCAGGGTGCCTGGGTGGCTCAGTCGGTTAAGCGTCCAACTTTGGCTCAGGTCATGATCTCAGTTTGTGAGTTCGAGCCCTGTGTCAGGCTCTGTGTTGACAACATAGAGCCTGAAGACTCATTCAGATTCTGTGTCTCCCTCTGTCTGCACCTCACCTCATGTTCTGTCTCTGTCTCTCAAATATAAATATTTTTAAAAAATTTTTAAAGAGTCGAGACACTCAACAGAGCCACCCTCGTGCACCACGCTACTGATCTCTTGATCAGGGCTGTCCAGTAGAACTTTCTGCAATGATGAAATATTCCATATCTGTGGTGTATGTGCGGCTATTGAGCACCTGAAATATGGCTAGTGATGGAGCAGCTCAATTTTTCATTTTACTTCATTCACGTCAACAGCCACACGTGGCTAGCGGGCACTCTGTCAACCCAAACTCTAGATGATCCCAAATCACTTCGACGTGCCTTTAAAATACTTCTCACAATATCATTTGGTAGCCGCTCCAGTCTCCATTCCCTTTGGCTCAGAACACAACAAGCTTCCCCTCCCTAAGGACACTTTGATTTGCACTGAAAAAAAAAAAAAAACTGGTCTAGAATGAAACGAGGGAGTAGGGATCAGTGTAGTGGAGCAAGCCCCCAGACTGGAGGAAAGGCACTCCTGAGTACCCTCTTTTGTTAGAGGCTGATATTGGTAGGGGACAGAAAAAGACTTTGGAGGAGGTTACGGGCCAAACTGTGTCTCCCATGCAACTCCCCCCCCTCAATTCACAGGTTAAAAACATAACTCCCAGCCTGACCGTATTTGGAGAAAGGGCCTTTAAAGAGGTATCTGAGGCTAAAAGAGGTCCTAAGGGTGAAACCCTAACCCGATATACTGCTAAGAAAAGAGGTCCCAGGAGCCCCACACACGGAGAGAAGGCCACGAAGGATGGTGAGAAGGCAGCCGTGTGCAGGCCAAGGAGAGAGGCCTCGGGAGAAAGCAACCCCGCTGCTCTTGGCATCTTGGACTCTAAGCCTCGAGAACGGTGAGAAAATAAATGCGTTGTTTTAAGCTAGCCAGTCGATGGTGGCGTTGTTAATGCAGCCCTCGCTGACTAATATAGTGCCCTTAGGAAACGGCATGTCCGGGTCCCTAATTAGCCTCTTGCTGACAAGATGTACCCGAGAACTGAGGAACAACAGCCCTACTGGAAGCCAGATGTCCCACCAGGACGCCTTCCCTGTAATGCCCTCCCCTTTGCCTTCCTGAACGCATCGCGTCTACACTGCTTCCTATATAGAGCCTGCGCCTTCATCCTCACCTAGTGGGGTTTTTTTAACTTTATTTATTTTTGGCAGGGGAGAGAGCAAGTGGGAGAGGGGCAGAAAGAGAGGGGTAGAGAGAGGATCCCAACTGTCAGCACAGAACCCGATGAGGGGCTCGAAGTCACAAACTGTGAGATCATGAGCTGAGCTGAAATCAAGAGCTAGACGCTTAACCGACTAAGCCACCCAAACGCCCCTGTTGGATATTTTTTTTTAATATGTGGGAGTTCTGTGCATCTCTTTCCCCACCGGACTTCAAATACTCAAAGATTAGTCTAGCATTCAAGACCCTTCACAAGATGGCTCCAATTTACCTCTCTAGCTTCTCCCAACTAGGCCAGGTCCAGGCTAATCTACTGGTTATCCCTTGAACGTAACGATGCTCTCCAAAACTCCCAGTCTCTAAGGCCACGTGAAGAGCCACCTCCTCCAGAGAGCCTTCTCTGACTACCTCAGCTAAATACATAAGGGGACAATGGCTTCTATCCCTGTACACCCATTCCCGTGTCTAATCTAGTGCTCTGCCACATGTGGCCATAACTACACCACTGCACCAAAAGCCCAGAGGAAAGGAGTTGAAGGCATGTGGGGGTGCAAACACACAATGTAATCCTGATGCTAACTACCCAGAGTTAGCAGAAAATCCACAGGTTTAAGGCCAAGTCCCCAACAAGACTGCCCTCACTTCAGATGCTGGCTACAAGTTCAGGGGTTCCCAGGAGACCTGTACTTCCTGGTCAGTACATTTTGGGGGCGGGGGGTCTGGGTGGCTCAGTCAGTTAAGTGTCGGACTTCATCTCAGATCAAGATCTCACAGTTCTTAAGTTCAAGCCCCGCATCGGGCACACTGCTGTCAGTGCAGAACCCACTTCAGATCCTCTATGCCCCTCTCTCTGCCACCCCCTCCTCCCCCCGCTCTCTTGCTCTCACAAATAAACATTAAAAATAAAAACAGAAAAAAGGACCATTCTAACTGGCTACACATTCAAGGGTTTCCTTGACCCCTTCAGGTTCAATAATTCATTAGAATGACTCACAGAACTCGGGAAAGCACTTACTTATAACAAGGTTTATTAGAAAAGATATGAGTCAGGACCAGCCAAATGAAGAGACGTAGGAGACAAGGTCTGAGCGGCGCACAAACACAGCTTCTATGTCTTTTCCCCCACGGAATCAGGACATGTCAGCCTGCTGTTGCATCCATGTGTTCCCCAGCCAGGAAGCTCACCAGAACCTTGTCTGGCATTTTCATTAAGGCCTCATCACATAGGTATTATCAACCAAAATCATGGACCGCTTGGTTAAATTCAATCTCCAGCCTCCCCCCTGCTCCCCCAGGTCAGGCTGGTATCACCTGGCTCATAGCCCCAACCCTATAATCACATGGTCGGCCCTTCTGGCATAGTCAGCCCTCATCCAGAGTCAATTTCAGCGTAACCTTATCTGACGGGCACCCCACGGATAAGCAAGACACTCCTATTCCTCAGGAAATTCCAAGAATTTAGAACTGCCTCCCAAGACCCAAGGACAAGAGCCAAGTTCTTTACTATACCCTCCCCCCCCGTAAAAGTTTTTATTATACAAAAATCTTATGTTTCCTAAAGTTTATTTTATATAATTTTTAAAAAAATTTTTTAGTAATCCCTACACCTAACACAGGACTCCAACTCACAACCCCGAGATCATGAGTCACATGCTCCTCTGATGGAGCCAGCCAGGTTCCCCAAGAGTAAACATCTTCCTAATTGTGAAAGCCAGGGATGCCCTGTCCCAGGAGAGAGTCCAAGCAGGTGCTCCTCATTAAGATGGTCTTGGGATCCATGATAGCCCCACCTTGACTCACCTTCCCAGCCTTCCTCAAGGGCCATGCCACCCAGTCACCCGGCAGACAGAAGAAATGAGCTAGGCAGAGATACGGTGCTCCCATCCACCCACTTGGCCTGGCCCCCCTCTCCCGACCCCTGGGGCCCTGAGAAGCAGACAAACCCCCTGACGGAGACCCTTAAGCTCTGGTAAGGCAATCAGAGACCTGTTTACATCACCTTCCCAGACACCCCTGAGAGCCCCTCGCAAATAGTGACGAGCTAAAAGGGAAGATCTAGATCACCACGTCCCAGCTCACGTGCAGGAGGGGGGAAAAGGATCGACACAAAAGGGTTCAGGAGCTTTTAATGCTTAGACTAAAAAAAAAAAAAAAAAAATCACAGGCCGGGGGTTACATAAAGTGATCAGTCCACAATGTGCCCTCACCCAGGAAGGTCTTCGGAATCGGGGAGCGCCCCCTGTAGTGTGATGAAGTGATGCCCCCACCAAGAGGCAAGAAAGCAGGAAGATTAACCTGCACCCACCTGCCAGGCCCCACGCAAGGGACTCGCGAGTGTTCTCTCGCGTAGTCCCCACACCAGCCCCACGAGGTAGGGATCCTCGCTCTACAGATACGGATCCGAAGGCTTGGGGAGGTGCATCGATTCATCCAAAGCCGAGATGAAAATCCAGGTCCTCTGGTTTTCCCCACTCTGCCACACTGAACTCTTTCTCTGATCCAGCCGCCAGTCTCCCGCGGGAGGTCTACTCTCAACGTCCGTGCCCTTTGCTCTGTCCTGGTCCCTGTGAGGAAAAGGCTCAGCTTGAAGGAAGCTGTTCTATGAGGGGGCGGGATCTCGGCAAGATCTTTGCTCTAACACAGCAAATTCGACCTCAGAAGTCACCGTTCAGGCCACTCTCAGCCGAGCAGAGACTCCCAAGGCAACAGCGAGGCAGAGCGGTTTGCAGATGCCGGGTCTCTGTGCAGTGGGCGACCGCGTGACCAGAGGCAGCGCCGGAAGGAAGGTGAAGGAAGCAGCAAGCCAGAGTAGTGTCAAAACTGCCGCAGGGTCCCCGGCAGCCAGGGGGTGGCTAGCCCAGGGGAGCTCCGTTGCTCCAGTCCAGGAGGCACGTGGTCCTCTGCCTGCCCCAGAATGACTAGGGGACCCTGAACGTGTCCTGTGCCGGGCCACGCGGGCACTTATTTTGTCAGCAGCGGCAGCAGCCCCAGCTCACTCAGTCTCTCCTTGGCCGCTGCCTCCCAGCCCCTGTTGGCTTGAGGGCTGCGAGGTGAGGGGTGCAGGAGCCCCTCCACCCGGACCATAGGCATCGGGCCCGCCAGAGCCCGCCGTGCCCGCTGCTCGGCCAGCCGCCCCACTCCCACCACCAGCCGCACCCCCAGCAGCTGCACCTGCCGGCAGAGGGCCGAGTCACAGGCGCCCAGCAGCTGTTCCCGCTGCTCGGCAGGTAGCTCGGCGGGAGTGACGTTGCGCCCCGTGGGAGTCAAGAAGAGCAGAGGGCACAGATTGTGGACAAAACAGTGCCGGAAGAAGACCTCGGGCTGTCCACACAGTTTCCGGAAAAGGCCCCAGAACCGGGCCCCGCTCACCTCTGACTGAGGGCACTCCAGTCCCAGCACGGGGCGCTTCGGGTGCTCTTGGGGAGGGGGCAAAACGGGCCCCCCAACGCCCAGCCAGTCCCGGACCATGCTCACTTCCCCAAAGGGCACCTGCCGGTAGGAGGGAGAGAGAGATGCAAGGGTTTCAGTCTGGAGCCCGGACGCCAGGGTTCCAGACCAGCTGACCCCTCCCCACCCTGCAGGAGGATCCAGTCTGGACACTGCCCCCCCACCTCCACCCCCTTCCTTCAACGAAAGGCCTGAGACAAGGATTCTGGCCCCATGGTGTGCTCCTGCTTCTCCAGTTTCTCATTGTGGACTGTGATCCAGAAGAACCTACTTGTTAGCTTCTATCCCCACTGGCCTTTGGGACCACATGCAGAGAGTACATGGGACGATCTGGCCCTACCTGGGAGGTGATGGGTAGTACTGGGGACAGACAGATGGTCTGCGACAGAAAGCTGCCAGGGTTATAGGAGGCCCAAGGACAGGACTGACCACCGCTCTCTGGGCACCCTCTCAGCCCTAAGCCGCAGGTTGTCATTTCCATCGATCATCATTGATCACCTTTCATCCCCCAGTTGGGGTCAATAAAAGCGACTGAGCCTCCTGCCCTGAAGCCTCTTCCCCTCCCCCATCTGCCAAGCACCCCCACTGAGGGGCATTCACTCATCCTGAGGTCTAAAAGGAAAGAAGGCAGGCCCCCAGAGCCTGCCCTGTTTTCAGTCTCTCCTCGGCTAAGCAACGGAAGCAGGACGGCTGAATGCCCTGCATCTCTTCCACACCCACCCCTGTGGACCAGCCTCTCCCGAGGACCCCCACAGGCCTGGTCCCTCTCCCGACCCCACCCATGCTCCAGGGAAAGAGGAGATCCGGCAAGGTAAGGTTAGGACGGGGCTGGCGGAAGGAAGGGCTCGCAGAGGCAATTAGCAGATGGTTCACAGGGGAAATGGAACCACCATTAATGTGCTTGGTTAACTGTGGGCAGCAAGGCCAGGAGAGTGTCTGAGACCACAGGAGCCAGCGTATGTCCTGGGAGGGGACGAGGGGGCCCGCACCCACACAGGTCCACAGCCAGGCCCTTGCTCCTCCCCCACAGCACACGCAGCCAAACATCCATCCGGGAGCCTCCCACTCCACCCGCTAGGGGAAGCCAAGCCCTTTACCCCAGTCTGGGCCATGCCGAAGGGTCCTGGGTTCATGCCCAGGAATAGCACTTCCTTGGGGCCCTGGCAGTAACGGGTCACATAGCTGCGGTGTGGCTCCCATGCATACTCCACGGGATTGTAGATGAGGCCCACGGGCTCCGAGAACCGCAGCTGGCTCAGTTCAGCGTTGAGCCGCAGCTCCTCCTCCAGGAAGCCTTCAGCCAAGCTTCGTGGGCAAGGCTGGGGCTCCATTAGGGCGCTTGTGGGTTCATGGAGGGGCCCCAGTGGATAAGCCTGGGGCACCGCCATGTCACTGCCACCTGGAAAAGAGACGAACGGAAGCTCCATCACCCCTTCAGCCCCAAAGTGAGAGGGATCCAGACTGGCCAGGGGTACCCTTTCCTGGGCTCAGAAGAGACTGTCAGTCGTCCGCCACCCTCTAGGCTTGACTGAGTTCATCTCAGTTCCTGGGAGTGCGGGGTCCTTCCTCACCCCGCTTCCAGTCTCCTCCTCCTTCATGTTACCTGATGAGACTAAGCCATCTTCCCCTGCTCGAAACCTCCCTCCATCAGGCATAAGTCGTGAGTCACTAGCTCCTCGGCCATGCCAAACACATGGTCGGCGTTCAGTATATAGTCACTGATGGCAAATTCTCAGCACCTCTAACAGCACCCTTAATAAAACAAGCTCAGCCAGGATGGGCTGTGTCCTGAAAACCAATGTGCTGAAGAATGAGAGGCAGGTGCACAGCCAGAGCCCAGAGACTCATTACCGAAGGCTAATTACAATTGCTTCCAGGTGGTGAGCAATTGCTCCATGCCAGGTACACCTCATTGATTCTCTGAACAACCCCACGAGGGCAGTATTATTGCTCCCATGTTACAGGTGAGAAGACTGAGGCTTCATAAGATCAAGCAACTTGCCCAGGGTCGTGTAGTTAACATGTAATGAAGCTGAAATGTGAACCCAAGCTGTCTGAATCAAGGCTACACTCTTAACCACCCACCTCATCTCACCTGAGATGGTCCAATCAGCCACCCTGCTAATCCAACAACCCTCCCCCCACCTCCAAGCCCAGCCCAGCTCCTTGCACACATTCAAGAATTCTCAGTGGTGAGAATGGATGATTACCAGACTCAGAAGAGACTCGTACAAGCTATGTAACCATGGCCGGGGCCTCAGGTTGTCTCATCCAAATATTAAGAATAATAATATCCATTCAATAATAATAATATAAGGGACGTGGGGGGGCAGGGAGGAAATGGAGGAGAAAGGGGGAAGAAGGGGGTGAAGAGGCCGAGCGAGCACTCCAGCAAGATCCACAGCCTACCATTCTTTCCGATCGTCCTTCTCACAATTCCCCTGCAAACCCAGTGTTCCAGCCTGACCGTTCCTCTCACGCTTTCAAAATGCCTTTCCTACCCCACCTCCCAAAACTGCCATTTCTTCAAACCCAAGCAAACACACGTCTTGAAGGAGTCAACCAGGACAGTGACTCCTCTGCCTTTCCCCGCCTCCAAATCATACCCATCCTTCAAGATGCAGCTCCAACGATCCCACTGGTAAAACCTTCCCACCTTAGGACCCTGTGGCATTTGCCCTGGCTTCCCAGTCCCACTCCACACAGGAGTAGGTCTGGTGTGAGACTTGGGGATCTGTATTTTAAGCAGACGTCCTAGGGTGAGTCTGATGGTTGATGAAGGCTGCAAACCACTACATGTTACCAGTTAGTGGCTTCTTCCTGAATTCACACCTTGCCTCCCTATCCAGACTTGAGCAGATCAGAAGCTAGGCCCTGTTCAGTTTCCCTCTATATCTTCAAGATCCTAGCTTTTATTACGTAATCGACAAACACCAGCTCAGCTCTGTCCATTCTATCTTTTCCAATCCTGTTTAAAACTACCTTCCACCAAGGAGCCTTTCCTGATGGACTCCTCTCCATTCCTACAGCCTGATTTCATTCAAGGTTCAGCTGCCCACTTTGCATTCGGCTGGTTTCATAGGGGCTGCCAGGCTCTGGGCGTTTCCAACATGTCTGGGCCTCCCACAGCATAGGGGTCAAGGTTCTCCTCCCTCTCAACCTCTTCTCCCAGATGGGACCTCAGGGTTGACTGAGCAGCTTGATCCATCAATCTCTTCTCTGACCCTAGCTTAGGGGAAGTGGAAGAGAAAGAAAAGTCAGGGCCAAAGTTAGAAAATCCTTCCCCAGACTGATCTCAGAAGTCTTTTTTTTTTTAATGTTTTATTTATTTCTGAGAGAGAGAGAGAGAGAGACAGACAGACAGCATGAGCAGGGGAGGGTCAGAAAGAAAGGGAGACACAGATTCCAAAACAGGCTCCAGGCTCTGAGCTGGCTGTCAGCACAGAGCCCGACTCAGGGCTTGAACACACGAACCGTGAGATCATGACCTGAGCTGAAGTTGGACGCTTAACCGACTGAGCCACCCAGTCGCCCCTGATCTCAGAAGTCTTTAACTGCTCTGTCCAGATGGCTAACCACAGCCAACTAGGCCCAAATAAAAGCCAAGGAGGGAGCTATGGAGAACTCGAATGTCTGAGACCCCCACCCTGCCTCTCTTCATGTTGTGCCTGCCAATGCTAGTGGATAGGCTGCTCCAGCTCTGGGATCTCTCTCCTCTTAGGCTGAGCCTCCCTTTGATCTTTTTTTTTTTTTTAATGTTTATTTATTTTTGAGAGACAGAAAGACAGACCGTGAGCGGAGGAGGGGCAGAGAGAGAGGGACACAGAATCTGAGGCAGGCTCCAGGCTCTGAGCTGTCAGCACAGAGCCTGACGCGGGGCTGGAACCCGCAAACTGCGAGATCATGACCTGAGCCGAAGTCAGATGCTTAACCGACTGAGCCAACCAGGCGCCCAAGCCTCCCTTTGATCTTTAGAGACCTGAGCTGGAGATGGCAAGGCTGAGGGGTATGAGAAAGAGTGACAAAGGTTTTGTCCTCAGCGTTTCAGTTTCAGAGCCTAATCTGGTAACAAGAACCGCAGTCTGGGTGTCAACTGAATCCATTTCTAGCCCTGGTTTTACCTCTAAGTTTCTCTGACTCAAATCCTTTAGCTCCCCTCTCTGTGAAATCACACATTCCACCCAACCTACCTACCACGAGCTGTTAACTCACTTATTTTTTTTCAACATTTAAAAGTCTCTTACATGAAAGGCTCTGTGGATATCTCTTGATGAGGAAGAAATAAAAAAAAAAGAGTGATAATAAAATATAGGCCACGCTCATAAACAGATAAACAATTTTCATACACTGTGATTGAGCTTTATTGTCCTGAACAAAGCATTATGAGAACCCAAAGGTGGAACTTGAAAGTCCTACCTAACGTCACCCAGAACTAAAGACTTAAGAAACGTAGATATATTATAAAGTACAGCGTCGTATTAGGGGCAAAGGCAGCGGAGGGTGATCCACCAACGTCTGGCCATCTAGCTTCTCTGACACCAAACCCAGGAAGTGGAAGAAGGAATCAGACTATCCACTCCCCTATCCCTTGGGGGCACTCCAAGAAATCGACAGGGACAATCAGCAAATCCTTAAAATAACAGCAGTAGTAGTTGGTCGTGGACTCAAAAACACTACTTTATCCCTCCTACTGGTTCTGAGAGGGCCGCAGGCGGAGGGTCCGTAAGAAACCTCCAGGTCCGCCCTAGGGCTCCGCCCGACGGGAAAGCCACGTCTCCGTAGGCCCTCAGGGAGGTTCCGTGAACTCGACTCTCCCTGCGCCGGGGCAAGCCCCAAACGGAGTAAGGGTCCCTCAAACACAGCCATTCCGACTCCCCGCCCGACGCCGCCCCGACGCCCGAGGAGCCCCAAGCGTGCCCCCAGCACCCTAGAGTCCCAGGTTCCTACTTCCTCACCTGGTTCAGCTCTCCATCCGGTTTCCGGTTCCCTTCCCCACCCCCGGGCGCGGAGGACAGTGGGAATTGTAGTCCACTTTGTTTAGGAAAGGCGATTGGCGTAGCGGCGGCAACTTCCGCCGGAAATACTAAAATCCCCGGAAGGCGTGCTGTTAACCCTAAGTGACTCTGGGGGCTGTAGTTTATTCCTTACATTAGAGCAAAATCAAGAAGGCTTTAGGAGAGGCCAAGCTTATTAAGGACCTCAGAGGTCCTGGCCTCTAGCCCTCAAGGGCAACACCTTCCAAAAGTTCATCGACAAGACTTTTCCCAACAGGAGTACGAATCAGGGAGCTTCAACCACTCCCCAATCTCGAAGCTCACCTGAGAGTATTAAATGACTTAAAGACCATTTCTAGTCCTCCTGCTGCCGAAAGGGTAAGAGATCTCTTCTTTGCGGCCCTCAAAGGACTGTACCAGAACATCCAAGGAGGCATTTCTGTAATCTGCTAACAACAAGTGTGTGTGTTAGAGCGCACGCGCGCTCTAACAAGTCTTTAGTAATGGCTTTGGGACTCTTCCCTCTCCCATTACTGCCCAAGCCTGTGTCTCCGTGGCTTTTCCATTTGACTTCTCTCCCTCCTCTGCTGTGCAGTCAACCCAGCCCTATAATCTCCGGTCCTTCCAAATCCTTCCCCTCAAATACTCTGCCCAAGACACCTTCCTGACCAACCCTAATCCCATGGGTGCACCTAATAGTCCATTCCCTCCTACCTCCCCAACCTAAAACAATGTCCAGAGCTGTCCCATTCCTAATTTTGTTCTTGTCTTCCACCTGGGTATATGTCTGTGTCCTAACTCAAGATTTTCATTACACAGGAAGCCCAGCAAGGCTGATTATCTTCTAAGTTCCTCCCACCCCCCACCCCCTGCACACCTCAGCACAGCAATGAGTGAGATCAGGAAGGAGCAAGGTCTCCCTACAGGTGGTAAATAAGGAGACCAGTGAACCCCAGAACAGAAAAAGGTGAGAGAACAAGGATACTCCCCCACCCCATCCCTCTCCTGCTCTCCAACCAACAGACAAAAACTTAATTGAGTGCAGCATGGGCTCCAGAGAACTGTGATCAGCAACCCTCTGACACCAAAGGTGAGAAACCACCCCCACCTTTGCAAGACTTTGGAAACAGTTAATCATTCACCTCACCAGTCTGTTATTCCGCGGGAGCTTGCATTTGTGCCAGATTCTTTCCCTGTTTGTCTGTGCCTCTCTCTGCCTATGTAAATGTATCTCTTGATGGCTTTCTCCCTGTATCTATGTGTCTTGGTCTCCCTCTGTGTACATCTATCCCCATGCCTCTGCTTTTTTCTCTGGAATGACTGAAATAAGAGTATCCTGAGCTTCTAGAAAGAACTGGCCCCTCAGGCTCCTCTCTCTTCATACATCTATGCATTTGTACGTCTCTGAACAAAAACTATGGGGCCGAGGTGGGGAACCCACACTGTGTTGTCATCTTTTTGCTTAAAATTGCTAGGAGCCTCACCATCCCTTGGACAACCCAGCCCTTTGCCCACCCCACCCCTTTGCCATTTGCTTGCCAGCTACTTCCAGTTTATCATCATGGCAGCCCCTCCAGTTCCAAGTCCGCTCTTGGGAAGAAAACAATGAGTGAAATGAGTGACAAGCAAACAGAGACACCCCCCCCCCAGGACTCCCTCTCCCAATTTCAACTCCCAGAAAGAATTTGATGACTGTTTCTGCCCCTGTACGTCCATTTACACCAGAATCCCAGAGATAGGGAGTCCCAGCATAAGCAGAAACTGAGTCTCAAGCTACCTCACAGTGAGTTCCTGTAGCTGACCCCAGAGAGGTCTGGGAGCCTTCTCTGTCTCTAGGTCATGCTTCTCTTTCCCACCTGGTGGGTCCTTCTCAGGGAAGATGGAGGTGAGGGACTTTCCTGAAGTGGGGGTGCTTAGAGATTTTCAAGAGGTAAAGCCTAAGAGATGAAACTTGGGCTAGGGTGGGGGCTGCCGACCTGTTTGCCTATGTCCTGGTCTCCTGACCCTCTGGGAAGTCTCCAAAGCCTGGCTGACTGTGATTTATGTTAGAACTTACTGGGCAGGAGAAGAAGCAGACCTGTGGCCTGGACAGTGCCTAGAGAGTTGGGTCACTGCTTAGGGGCCAGCCAGGCCTGGGGCAGGGCCCTCTGCGGCCCAGCAGGCTGTTCCTGGGGCTGGAGCCCAGGCAGGATAGAGTTAATGAGAGGGCTTGTTTTCCTTTGGTTTCCTGGAGCTGCAGAGACTGTGTTGGGCCACGAGCGCCATCTATCGGCCTCTGGTGGTCCTAGCTCTGACTCTCAGCTCATTGGCTTTTAGGCGGATCTTCAGCCCTCCTCCTGTGCCTCCATGCTCCCAGAGTAGAGGGGAGTTGTCTAGCTGCCTGGCTCTGGTGCAGAAACTAGATATTGGGGATTGGAAAAGGTGAGGGCCACGTTTCCCCCTCCCCAAGTACCAGATGTCACCCTTGGTAACTCCTACCACCTCTGCCCTGGGGAACCTCAACGGGCTTCTGATGTTTGACTTTCAGTGTAGCCATGTGCTCCTCCAACTCATAGGTGCTTAGTACAGTGCCTAGCACAGAATAGTGCTCTATCAAGGTTAGTTATTGTTGTTGCGACCACGTGTCAGGGTCTCAGGCAGATGCTCATCTGACAGCCCAATATCCAGGCCACCGAGCCATATCAGACACACAAGCACAGAGGCCAAGACTGGGCAACACATCCCTGGAGATTTCCACTAAGACAATGACCCACACAGGCTAGTCATGGGGGCTGGAAGTTCAGGATCGCAAGGGAAGTTCTCCAAGATGGGCAGGAAGTTGGATTCGAGAGTCAGAGAAAGAAAACCTTGAGGTAAAGACGTAGGAAGAAAAAGCGCTAAGAGAAAGGTATTAACAGGCCCTTAAAAGGACCTTGATTAAGGGAGGTGGAGAGAGTTCCCTGACGTGGGGGGTAAGCAAGAGCCACTGCATCTCAAAACATGACCTCCTTGGTACAGGCACAAAAGTCGCAAGGTTGGTCAGGCTTCCCAGTCCTCCAAAAATATATCATATCAAAGGCCCATCCCAGCTCTGTGGGGACTTAACCCTCAATGTTTTCCCCCAGCCTTTTGGGGAGGTGACTCACAAAGGGGGGAAGCGTAGCCTCGGATGCATCCATTGCTTTCTTACCAGGTTCACCCATACCATGTCCCTGTGTCTTCTATAGCTCTGCCTCCCTCCACCTTACTGGCAAATGGGTACAGAGGACAGTTCTCCAAGGGATAAGATAAGGGGCAGAGTGACATCCTCCCAGATAAGAAAGAAATGCAGAGCCAGTGGTGTTCCCGGTCCAGCCTCCCTGCCTCCCACCCCGGCCTCAGCCCCAAGGCAGCACAGACCAGCCTTAAGGCTTGATGGCCACTTAACTGAATGCGGGTGACAGCTTCCAAGTCTCTCCAACTCAGGTGTTCTCCCCGTCCTGGGGTCTGGACGCCGGGGTCCCCAGGAGGGGAGCAGGACAGGCTGGATGGGCTGATTTGCATCGCTTACTTGAGAAGCAATTATCGGAGGAGCTGTCAGCTCAGCGCGGCTCTCTCTTCACTAATCGGATTTCACCAGAGCCCCAGGCTGGGGGGTGCTGAGTAATTTGGCTTGATGCGGTGGTGGGAGGTGTCGGGGCCTGGAGGCTGGGCCATCCGTCTGAGTGGTGTTCGAGTTGTCCAGAGCAATTATCCTGAGGGGACCACACAGATCTCAGATGGACGGCCAACCGAGGGGACTGCACTGGTCCCCAGATCCTGCAGCAGGACTTGGGGCAGAGTAGGGGGGGGGAGCTCTCCCGAAGAGTGAGCCAAATTAAGCAACTGAGAAGAGGAGCCTAGATGGGTCTGAGAGGGGGGGCACATAGCCAAGCAGGAAGGGGACCCAAGATACCAGCTTCCGGCCTTCCCACCACCCAGGCCCTGCCCTACCCTACCCTGCACCCCCAGCGAATGAGCAGCAGAGCAGGGACTTGACCGACGATGGCTTCCAAGCCCTGCTTCCCTCCCTGCGGTGCTCCCAGGCCATGCTTTCCCTGCCCCTGTCTCTGCCCCTGTCGCTGGCCTTCTCTTGTCTCTACAGCCCTTTTGAACCTGTCCCCTCCTTCCGCCCCTGCTGCCCTGCTCCATCTCTCCCCAAGTTCACAATGGACGGCTGACCCCTCTCCCCGCCTCTGTGCTCCATTTCTCACCTTTCAGAAGGGTGATGACAACCAGACACCACCCGAAGTACTTTATGGGGGCTCCTCATAGTAACACGGCAAGGGACATACTCTGCACCCCCATTTACTGACGAGGACACTGCGGATGACTGAACTTCCTGAAGGAGGGACCACATCTGAGCTACCAGTGCAGCCCTGGCCCGTGTCTGATGCCCAAGAAACATCTGTTGAATGAATCAATGATCCAGTGAGTGATTTCCCCCCTTCTCTACTCCTGGCTGGCCCCCCAGTGACATCCACTTCCCTGATTTGGCCTCCCCACCCTCTCATATCCTGACCCCCCTGTCATCTCAGCCTGACCTTCCTCACGCCGCCCCACACACTCTATCCTATGACGCATTGGAAAGCTCTGCTGATTCCTCCTCTCCTGCCTTTGCAGTGACCCATCCTGTCTCCTTTGCCTGGAACATTCTTCCCTCCCCATCTCTGCCACTGAATACATTCCACTCACTCCCCTCGGGAGTGTTCTCTGATCCTCCCTTCTTCTCGCACGTCCCCGGCGACCCTTGTCACCAACTCCTAAGTGTTTCACTTATTGCTAAAGTACCTTACAACCTGTGCTAGATTGTTTTGAGAGGTCAGAACTCATTCTCCTCTCTCCTGGTCACAAGCCCACTGCCTGGTACCTATTAGGTGCTCAGTAAATATCTGGTGAAAACATAAAAATATCTGCTGTGTAATTTTGTTTTTCTCATTCAGAGATGCTCTTATGGTGGGTTGAAGGAGCACTCAGCTTTGGAGGAAGCTTGGGAGTTGGGGGTTTGGCAATGACCGACGGTAATTACCAGCTGTATGTCCTTGGGCTGATCATTTCATCTTCCCTTGGAAGAGAGGATGAAGAGCCTGCCATGAAGGATATGCAACACGTCCCAGGCTTATCTGCTCAGAGTCTGTCTCCAAAGCTGTGGAGATCTGTCTCTCTCCATCTTTCTGCCTCACTACTGAGCCTCTGCCTCTCTGACCGTCACCAATCCAGGCATGGCCCAGGAGTCCTACAACCCAGGTCCCTCACTGTCACTAGGCCTGTCATTTTTCCTGAAACTACCATTCCCCGGGGGTGGCCCCATCCTTCCGCTGAGAGCCCAGAGGACCAGCCTCACCTTGGCTTCCTCACCCCCTTAACAAATGAGACCTTGAGTTCTCCCTCTGAAAATATTAATAATAAAGAAACGAGGCACTAGGCATGCAACTGGATGCAAACTAGCCCCAATTCTCAGTCCAAGAAATGGAATGCCTGAGCTATGGA